GTGCCAGATCCAGAGTCAGGAAGACTCATCTTCCTGAGTTCAAATCTGGCTTCAGACGCTTACTACCTGTGTGACCCTAGGTAAATCACTTAACCATGTTTATTCAGTTTCACCCTCTGAAAAAAAATGAGCTGGAAAAAGGAAATGGCAAACTGTTCCAATATCTTTGCCAAGAAAACCCCAAATAGAGTCATGAAGAGTTGGACATGACTGAAATGTGAAAGTACTAGATTTGGAGTTAGGTGGCTTGGGTTCAAATCCCAGCTTTGATACTTATTATAGCTGTGTGATCAATAAAGTTACTTAACCTTTCTTGGCCTAAAGTTTCTCATTTATGAAGTGCAGATAATATTACAGTACATAATTCGTATCAGGGCCAAGACATTGAGGCCAAGGCCTGTGTAGGTGGAGGTATAATGAGCAGGGTCTGGATTGGCATTCTCTCTCATTGGCATATCTTCCTCCTTTGTCTTCTGATTTCCTTTTGTAGCAGATCTTTGATCTTTTTTCTTATCTTTTTCATTCTTCTTTGCCTTTGTCTTTTTCACTGCTCCTTAACTAACTGTAATATGGATCTAAAGTGTGTTCTTTTTTATAACTTAATGTTTTATGTTCCTGCTTATTAATTTAAAAAGTGTATGAATGGAAAGGTTTTTCATACAAAACCCAATTAAATTGCCTTTTGCTTGCATGTGGCCCTTGACTAATTACCCCCCCCCCCAACACACACACACACTTTGGGTCTCTTATTCTCTGTAGAAAAAAGATGTCCCCCATACACTAAATTAATAAACTACTATAAACATTAGAAAATCATTTAATAGTGACCTATCCAGATTAAACCTAGTTCAATTAATTAATCAGTCAATGAACATTTATTCAGCACTTACAAAAAGGGGCAAAAGTCCCTGCCCCCAAGGAGCTTACACTCTTATTGGGGAGACAATATGCAAACAAATATAAGCAAAGCAACTTATACATAGGATAAATAGGAAATAATTAACAAAAAACACTGGAATTAAGAGGGGTTAAAGATGGCTTCTTATAGAAGGTGGAATTTTCATTGTTTTTATAGGTTGAGCTAATATATCAGGTACATTTTTTTTTCAGCTCTTTAATTCTGAAGTCACTGGTTCAAATCAATATTTGAAGAAACTAGGTGTCTCAGTGGTTAACAGAGCTAGACTTGAAGTCAGGAAAACTTGAGTTCAAATGCCATCTCAATCACTTCCTAATCTGGGCAAGTCACTTAACTTCAGTCTGTCTCAGTTTCCTCATCTGTAAAATGGGGATATTAATAGCACCTACCTCACAGGGTGGTTGTGAAGACCTAAAGTGATAACACGTTTAGTGATTTGCTAACCTTAAAGTGCTATATACATGCTTATTTGCTAATTACTTAAGATAGCTGACTTTCAAGCTTTTTTTGAATAATCTCAGGGCATGAAAGAAACCAAGAGTTAAAAATGATGTCATATAAAATCTAGGAGGCAGATGACACTGGCTCTTAGCAAAGCTATTTTGAGCTGAATAGTACATTTTAGATGAGACATTAAGAATTTATATAGCACTGGTACAGCCAAACTGTCCTAACACATTATCAATTAAACTACTTCAAGAACATTTTTTCTCATTGAATTTAATGAGGTTCAATGGTGAGGCCGAGGGGTCTCAGGTTCTTCACTTCTAAGATACTTTCTCTCACTTAGGCTCTTGCAAGGTTCAAGTTCAGGCAGATAATATTCCCAATATAGCCAGCCTTGGTTTTTTAAAAAGTATTGCTTTGCTGTGAGCCATCTAATATTTAAAAAAAAAAACCTCCTCAGGAATAGTTTGTCCATTTACAAGACTGAGTTATTAGAATGCTGTTTATTCAACATTTAGTAAATATTTATTAAGTACCTACTATGTGTAGATCAACACTGGGGAACTACTGGCAGAGATTTGGGCATGTATGCTAATGCAGAAGTTTTAAGTATCAGATTCAGAGTATGAAATGTAAAACTTTCTTTTAAAAATTACTTTTGGATTAGTCTTGTGAACTTGTGAGGAAATTCCCTCGGTCAATGTAGGGAGACATCTGCTTGGAAGTTTAGCAAAGGTCTTAGAGAGTTGCCTGGATCACAGAGAAGTTAAATGATTTGTCTTAGCCTGAGACTTGAAACCAGGTCATTCTGGGTCTGAAGATTGCTCTATGTCCATTTTGCAACACTGTCTTTCAGGTCTAAACTTTTATGGAGATACAGTTCATATAAAATTGGTGTGTAGTTCTTTATTAATTGAATGAAAATGATTCCAAGGTTATGTGTCTGGAGGACTTGTAGGATTATGGAAATAGACAAGTTATGAGAGTGAGGAGGATTTGAGAAGGTGAGGAAATTGGATATGTAGGTGAAGATATCTAGTAGGCAGTTGGAAATAAAGGATTTACTTTCTAAGTAGAGGTTGATCTGGAGATCTAGCTTTGGAAGTCATCTATGTGTGACCCTGGGCAAGTCACTTAACCCAATTGCCTTAAAAAAAAGAATAGATGGAAATGTAGAAAGAGTACCATGGAAGTGCAGTGTTATGGAAGTTAAGGGAGGAAAGGATATTAAGGGGGAGGGATAGTCAACAATGTTAGTTTCTTCAGAGAAGTAAAGGAAGATGAAGAAAGGGAAAAAAAGCAATGGGATTTCTCAATGAGGAGATTGTTAGTGACTTGACAGTGTTGTTTTAGTTGGGTAGTGTGCAAGGTGATACTGATTCTGGTCAACTCTGTGTAGTAAACAGTTCACCTTTTTTTGCATGTGATTTGTTGTTTGAATGCTGGCCTTATGGGAGAACTCTGGTAAGAGAACTGGAGAATTTCCTTCCTTGCTTAACATTCAAATTCCAAAAATGCTGACCTTGACTTGTGTTGAGGTAAAATGATCTCTTGTGGCATTGTAAGCCCCTTCTAACTGGTCTTCAAAATGTGCAGGAGAGCAGCAGATAGTCACAGATGACTTATTTGAAAGCCTTCATTTGATACATTCAATTGGAGGTTGCATCACTGAATTGACAGCCTTTACACGTGGTATTGTGTTTGGTCTTCTTGCTTTTTTCTAGGTCCCTTTAGTCCTTTGTGAGTGCCTTCTTGATAAAGACACAGCTGTCTCAAGACAGAATGTGAAGCGTGTTTAGATCGTTTGTAGAAGACATAGCAATATACTCCCCTCTCTTTCTCTCTTTCCCTTACTCCCTCTCTCTCTTTCTCTCCCCCCTCTCTCTCTTACTCTCTATCTCCGTCTCTCTCTCGTGTCTCTCTGTCTTCTCTCTCTCCATATACATACATATACACGCACACACACACACATATATGTACGTATGCATGTAATGTTTTTGTACAATAGGGCTATAGCAAAGAATATTTACCTTTTAACATTTGGTTGTCCCCTGCTTCTTCTTATCTACTGTCATTGTTCTTGCAACCTAAAGTGATTTCTTTTTCTGTCTCAGGCTTTGATATCTAAGAAATACAGCAAGAAGGCATTTGCTCATGGTGTTTTAAAAATGAGACTTAGGTCTGAAAAATTGCCAGAAAGCACTCTTCTGGTACTACTTTTTCTTTTTTTTTGTAACTAGGTATAAAAATAGACATAAGAAAACTCAGTAATTCTTCCAATACCAAATTGGAATATGCTGGATTGCTTAATGTATTTAATGTCACTGTATGATTTAGGCAAACTGGGAAATGATAATGAGTATCAAGGATTTGCTGGCTACCTCCAAATCTCATTTGAGACCCAGACTCCCTCTAAATTGGGTTAAGGGAGTTTGCCTTGGATATGGGACATTTTTGTCTTCCATTAAATTCTAAAAGGAGCTAATGAATAATACCATTCAGATTGCCCCATGCTTTGATTCAAGCAAGAAACATTTATATCCAGAGACTGCAGGGTAGAAGTTTCTTGCTAATCCTAAATGGAAAAGCTGAAATTCACTTCAAAGGTAGAAAAAAGAACATTCATAACAAAATCCGGAAAATCCCTTAATTACTATATTATTGAATTATCCTAGAAAGGTTAGGTAAATGCAAGAGGCATGGATAGATGGCATTTGTTCTGAAAAAGATTTGAGAGGTTTTATGGACTACAAAGTAAATATATGTCGACAGTGAAACATGGCAGTCAAAAAGACTAAGATGATCTTGGACTGCAAAAGACTTAGCATGTAGAAAAATACTTATAGTAGTTCCTTTTGTAGTGGCAAAGAATTGGAAACTGAGGGGATGCCCATCAATTGGGGAATGGCTGAACAAGTTGTGGTATATGAATGTGTTGGAATACTATTGTATTGTAAGCAATGGTGAAGGGTATGGTTTCAGAGAAACCTGAGAAGACTTGTATGAACTGATGCAGAGTGTAATTCAAGCCAAATCAGGAGAACAATTTGTACAACAATAATAGTATGAAGACAACTTTGAAAGACTTATTAACTCTGATCTACAGAAAAATCAATACAATCTCCAAGGACTCATGATGAAATGCTACCGCCACCAGATAGAGAGCTGATGGGACTCAGAGTGCAAATTGAAGAGCATATTTTTTTGGATATGTCCAGTAGATGAATTTGTTTTGATTGATGATTGAAAAAGGTTTAGAAGCATGTAATACATAAATATTTTCAGAAAAACACTAAAATTAAGAAGGTTTGGCTCTTAAAGAGGGTAGCCTTTAATAACATGGGACATCTCTCCTGATATCAGATAACTTTTAAGCATATGATAGAACCACTGGAATTAATCCAAGAGTTTGTCTGTGGTGTTCTATTTAGAAGGCAAATGCAGCATTACTGTACATAAAGTATTTGAGAGACGTATGTATATTTTGACTATGACTATGCCTCCACTTTCCTTTTCAATTAGGATGATCTGGGATGGCTGATCTGTTTTTTCATCCAGGACAAACAACTATGTGAAGACTGAAGCCTGATCTATGAAGTCTAATTGATAACTGTAACATTTCTGTTTTTCTTAGGGTGGAGAACACTGCTACTATCATGGAAATATCAGAGGCATCAAGGACTCCAAAGCTGCATTGTCAACATGCAATGGACTGCAGTAAGCACAAATCTTCCTTTGACATGGGCATCATTTTAGAGGGGGAGTTAGTCAACATTTTCCAAATTGTAATGTAACTTCAGAGCTTATCATGATGGAAAAGTCCATTTTCAGCCTTAGGAAGAACTCTTGGGTGGGCTGTAATTAAATGTACTTCACAAACTAGTCTTTGATTGTTTAATGGAAACTCAGGACTAATAAATAAAGATGTTTCTATTTGGCTTTTAGGTGTTTATTCTTTAGAGTAAAAAATATTCCTACCCCCAAGAAACCTGATAAATTTCCTGAATATCATTTATATTGGATTCATATAGGAAATTAACCTAGAGTACATCATCCCAATGTACAGCCTCATGAATGGCCCTCTTTGAGATCAATCCTCTAATCCTTTGAATTAAAAAATAATTGTACCTCAAATTCTTTGTAAGCTTCTGGAGAATAGGGATCTTGGGATCCCTATAGTGCTTAGTAGAGTATTGGGCACATTGTAGGGTCTTGGTCATTATTTGTTGATTGAATTTGGGATACCATAATGTAAAATAATTTCTGAAGATATTCTGCACAGATTTCATTTCCTACTGGTACCTCAGTTTACGTGGTAGAAATGGATACCATGGACTTGATTTCGATGTTCTTCTCTGCTAGTATTTGTCAAACCTTTCCTTTTTTTGTTTCTTGCATTATAGTGGCATGTTTGAAGACAACACTTTTATGTATATGATAGAACCACTGGAGTTAATCCACAGCACAGTAAGTCTGTTTTCTTCAGAGCTTGCTTAGAGTGTTGTATTTAAATATACATCTTCAAAGAGCAAAGAGGAATGTTAAGAGGATGAAAAGGCATTTCACTCTAGTCCCAAATTTTCTGCCAATGAATTTAATTTCAATTTATCTCTCTTGGCTTTAGTTTTCTCTAAAGAGGAGAGTTGGATTAGATAACCTGTGAGGGAGGTCTCTTCTCTTAGTCTCTAAAATTCTATTTGGAAAATTCAGTTTGGGTTGGAATGATGAAGGCAATTAATATTAGAAGCCAGATGTTCAAACTGTGAAAAGTTTGTTAGATTTGGGCTCAGAGATTCAGAGTTCAAATCCTAGCCTTGCCACTAACTGCTTGTGTGATCATGTGCAAATCACGTAATCCATTTGGGCCTCAGTTTCCTCATGTGTAAAATGAGAGGGATAGAATACTAAGGTTCCTTTTAACTATAAATTTATAGTTTTGTGCTCCTTGCATCACTGTTATGTTTATCATTCATCTCTTTACCAGACAGAATGAATTAGAGCCATGAGTTTGACCGAAGAGATTTTTAAGGTCTTTTTTTTTCTCTTGTAGAGAAAAACGTGTTTTCGCTTTCTGAGTAGGGGAGTCTCTTTGTATTTCTTAGTGTTGAATGGTCTGGTATTCCAGAGAGAAAATGGTAAATAGCTAAACATAAATAGAAGCAACATGGCACAGAGGAAGGAGCCCTGGATTTGAAGTCAGAAGAAATGGCTTTGAATCACTTTCTACAGGTCTACTACTTATTACCTGTGTGATCTAGGGGAGCCTTACCCTCTCCAGCTTTATTTTCTCATTTTTAAAATAGGTGATCTCAAAGGTGCCATTCAGCTCAAAATATAAGATCCATTGGGTAAGTTATTTCTTTCAGGATGAGCAAGATCTCATTTTTAACACTTGGAAATTAAAAAAAAATCCTCCAAACCTCACTCAAGCTAGTAGGCAGAATATTTGGTTTATCACACATAACGTTCCACAAACGTAAATGAAGAGGTATTGTCATTTATATATGTAGTCATTTTGGTTGCTGAAAGGGCAGAAAAAATTTGTGTAAGTAAAAATGATAAAAAGTAGCTTTATAAGAAACATAAGCTCTCATATAAAATGTTGAGGAGAACCCCCCTCCATTCCCCATTGATCTGAGGATCAGATGGAGAAGTGCCTCCCCCCCCCAGATGAATATACTAGGAAGATCTGTTTGGAGGCAGAGCTAAGATTGAGGTCATGGTGGCTGGAGGGCACATCAGCTCATTTGCATGTTGTTGTTTTAGAATTTTGGAGCTTAGAGTTGAGAAATTGTAAATGAAACAACTGTTTGAGCACCATAGGAAGACTATAAAGGCATTCATGGGTTCATACCTGACAGGAAGCTATATTTTGTGAGTTTTTCTAAGGTAAAGACGAGTCACCACCAAAAGGAGGCTCTGATTTGAGGCACTAGAAGATAAAATAAGATATAGAAAGAGTAGGAAGGAGCCTTAGGAAAAGACAGACAGACAGAAGTGGGAGATAGGCCAGTTGCAGGAGGAATCACAAGAAACTGAGACTAGAAGACATAGGATGAGAGGAGCTGCTTCTAGCTGAGATAGGTGACTCTTCAGCAGCTTCAACAGAAGTTGCTACTTCAAAGTGAGACATTGCTTTGCTGGATTTGCTATTGTTAGAGCTGTAGGAACATATCGTTCTCTGGTGCCATCTACATAAAGCCTAAGAAAGGGGGAAATCTCTGAGGAGTACCTGCTTGCCCTTATACTGCTGTCTTTGGCTTAAGAGGGGAAAAGAGAAGGGAAAGACAGACTTTGTGTGACTGTAAGCTGGGCTTATTGCATAAGAAGTTTTGCTTTACTGGAAGCCATCTGGAGAAAGCAGAGTCCTGTTGAGTGAAGAGCTGGCTGGTCAGGGCTGGTCTGTATTGCTTAAAGAACTAACCTGAAGGAGCTTTGTAGTGCTCAGGCTTAAGGGAACTGCATGTTACTGAACAGGTGCAATCCTGATATATTTTGGCTTAATTTTTTAAGTATAGCTCTTTCTCAATGTCATGTGAGCTAAATGAGCTGGTAATTGCTTCATCTCTTTGGGAGTAGAGTGGGGTGACTTCACCTACCAAGAGAGTGGTGAGAACCACAAAGGGATCAATTAGTAGTGAATCAGCTTTGTGGAGTGCAGGTTGTTCTTGAAGGGACAAAGAATGTGAAAGTATGCAGTCTAGAGTTGTGAATTGCCCCAGGAATATGGATTACCTTGCTTATCTTCCTCCTTGCTAGATTTCTATGAGTGTATCCACCCCCCACCCTTGATCTGTATGATTGGTGGGAAAGTATGACTAAGGTTTATGGGTGGACTGTGATATTTTGATTATTCCTGATTTTGCTTACTATTTAGTAAAAGTGATGGTTCTCTTGCTTTTACTCTCCAGTAAATGTTATGATTGTTTGTACTTTTAACTGTTATTGAGTAAATATTATGATTATTCTGGATTTTGCCTTATTGTTAAATAAAATCTTTATGTTTGAGCCACTGGCGTTACCATGACTGATTTTGTGTGGGAAGTATGCTGGTTGGTACCCAAGGCTACAGTGGTAAATAGTAGGAGTATCTCCTTTTCTGCCTTCACCCCACATTTAAACACACACACACACGCGCACACACGCACACACACACACACACAACACAGATATTATCCCTAGGATCCTGAAGAAAAAAAGTAATGGGTAGTAGTTATGTAGTTGAGAACCATGGCCAGTCTCCTCACATTGGGAAAACCCCCAGATGGACATATCCCCAGAAGAGAGAGTAAAGTATGGGTTCCATATTGAAAATCATATTCAGAGGCTGTACTGCCCAGACTACATAAAAAGGGCATGTAATTTCTGTCACGTTTTCCAAAAGATGCAAGCATACAGTGATACCTCAATATTTCTTTCAAACATAGTGCTTCCCCAAAGCAAATGTTGTGACTCAGAGCCTGAAAGGATATATAGCTAATCTCTTGCAAATGCGTGGCATGTAGTTTTTTAAGACAAGATTGTTTGTCATAATCCATTATGTTAGAAGCTTCTAAGTGATTTGTTTTGCATGAACCTTCTTGTGCACCTGGGAATTTGCTTCACCTATGGGAAAATCTCCATAAGCACAGGGGTGACAATGTGAGAAGTTCGTTTAGAAATGCTGGTCATTCATAGCATACGCATTCTATCTTACACTTGCATGATACTTCAGGGTTTAGAAAATATTCATTTAATCCTCACACGAACCCTGGGAGGTAGGTGGGGCAAACATTTTTATCTGCTCTTTGCAGATGAAAGACTCAGGTTCAGAAAGGAGAAGGGACTTTTTTTAGGTAATAAAGCTGGTGTGTGTCAGAGCTGGGACTTCAGGTCAGTCTTTTTAAATTCAACCTCAGTTTTGCTCCTGGTATATCTCAAGCCATTGAATGTAAAGACAAGACTTTGAAATGCTGCCTCATTGTTGTTATTATTATTATTCTTCAGTACTGAATTGAAAACATTATTGAAAAAATTTTCCATCATCAAAAATCTTTAAAAAGGAAGGTTTCATAGGTTCCTGTAATAATGCTATAGCCAAGAGTTTTCCCCATGTCTAATGTGAGTCCCTAAATTGTTCTTCAAGCCCATTTTATGTAGGTATTTATGAAGAAGTCAACCACTCAATATCACTTATCCAATATCCCTTTATAAAAATTAGCCATTATTATTAGTATATAGTACCTTGAAATTTAGAGTGCTGTATGTACATTGTCTTATTTGATCTTCACAACAACACGTGAAATAAGTTCTTTTATTTTACCCAAGTAAAGGTACATTTACCCCCATTTGGCAGATGAGTAACTGAGAACCAGACAGGTTAAATGACTTACTCATGATTCACACAAACAGTAAGTTCCAGATGTAAGATTTGAACCCAGGTCTTCCTGATCCCAGGTCTAGCACTTCATCTGCTGCACACGTAGGGCCTTTTACATATTTGAAGATGTTGATTAATTCATCTGTAATGCTATTCTCTTTCTCCAATGATCTCATTTCTTTTGGCCTTTTCCACAAATTGTCTATTTCTTTTAATCATTTTTGTCTAAGACATCTCATTTAAACTATGAAGACTGATACTAGAATAGAAACTTGATGTATTATGGAGAACATTTCATCACATTTACATACTTGTGAGTTGCTTTAAACTGACAGAATCATATTTCTGTCATATTTAATGAAAATTCCACTCTTATTCTTTGACCTTCTCCCAAGATACTTGCACATGTATTTGCTGCTGTTCCCTATGAAACAGTCTTGTTCATAACTCCTCCCAGTTTTTCCCATCAAGCATCCCTAAAATCTGTGAACCACTGTTGGAAATGACAACTTTTAGTTGATGGTAGAAGAGAGGACAACTATACTTCTGTGATAAAATGAAGGGATTTGTAATTTTATAAGCACTTTGACTGGATGCATCTTAAGGGTACCCTGCCATCCAAACTAGTATTTAGGTTTTTATCTAGATGTTCTAGCCTGTATTTCATGATGAGGATTCAAGCTTTCCTACATTCAAACAACAGATTCAAAAACCATTACAAAGTCCCCAGCTTGAAGTAGGAGAAATAATTATTTTAATTTGTTCAGAACGAAATGCAAAAAGATACCTATAATCAGGCATAGACATTCCAAATAAACCAACTAGATATTTACCCCAAACATCTGGTTATTGAGTGGAATATAAATGACTCCCAGGGAAAAATTAATGAAATCATTGAGGATGAAGAGAAATTATTATAGCTCTTTTCTGTTGGACGAGCATAGTCACTTAAATTTTTGTATGTTTTTATAATGCCATAAGTAATTTTGATAAAAATTGGTGCTTTGAACATAGAGATGGTTTAAATAGTCCTGTATCATAAGGCCATCATAAGATTTAGAGATGGTAGAGATCAAAGATGTCAAAGAGTCCAGTCTCCTCATTTTGCTGATGAAAAATCTAAGAAATTTAAGAAGGTTGTACACGATCCCACAGGTGTTAGTAGAGCAAGGATTTTAGCCCAGGTCTTCTGACTTAAATATGAAGTCCTCTATCTCCTACTCTTCCAGTCTTTATTTTCTTAGTAAGGGGAGAGAGAGAGAGAGAGAGAGAGAGAGAGAGAGAGAGAGAGAGAGAGAGAGAGAGAGTGAGTTAGAGTTTTGGATTTGGGATAAGATCATATTTTGAGACAGGAGAGTAGTTCAAATGTTAAACGAATATTTAAAAACAAACCTTACATGCCAATTCTCAGCTGTTCCCTTTCTCAACTACCAGGAGGACAATGAAGAATGAGTCAACTTTTTAAAGAATGTTAGGTTTTGTGGAATTTAATTTTTTACCACTTTAGTAGAAGCTAGAATCTTGTCATCCTCACATGTCACCCTCAGTGTTAAGCCCAAGTGAGGATTGTTTGTTATCATAATATAAAACTTATTATGTACCTGTTATTGAAATAGCCCTATTATTTAGGGAAAAAAAATCAGTCCTTGTTCACTGTCCTTTTGACTGCTTTTTCTTCCATTGCACCACCTACCTTTTAAAAAATTTATTTTATTTTTTAATTTATGGAATCAAGCAAGCATTTCCCTGATATAGTATAATAAAAAAGATGATTGCATATGAAACTACAAATCTACTATGAATAACTTGATATTTCTTTTAAATATACAACAGAGTTATCATGTAAATTTCTTTTTTCTTTTTTTCCCTCCTCCCACCCTAGAGATGGCTGCCATTAGATACAATAGGTGTATATATCTACATATAGATATATACACATATACACACATAAATATACATATATGTATATACACATATATATATGTAAAAATATTCTATATATACATCTATTAGTTCTTTTTCTGGATGCAGATACTGTCTTTCTTCATATGTCCTTTATAGTTAATTTGGGTATTTATAATAGTCAAAATAATTTATTGTTCAGAGTCATTCTTAAAACAACATTGCTGTTACTGTATACAATGTTCTCTTGGTTCTGCTCATTTTACTCTTCATTATTTCATGCAAGTCTTTTAATCATTGTGCTCATCATTTTTTTTTTTGTGGCATAGTAGTATTCCATCCTAATCGTGTACCATAATTTGTTCAGCCATTTCCCAATTGATGGTCATCTCTGAAAATTCCAGTTCTTTGCCACCCCAAAGAGAGCTGCTATCAGCATTTTAGAACATATAGATTATGTTCCTTTTTCCCTAGTCATCTTTGGAAATAGATCTAGTAGTGGTATCACTGGGTTGAAGGGTATACTTATTTTAAAAACTCTTTAGGCATCATTCCAGATTGCTCTCCAAAATGGTTGGATTAGTTCACAATTCCAACAACAATGAATTAGGGTCCCAATTTTTTCACATCCCCTTCATCATTTTTAGCTTTCCCTTTCAATCATTTTAGTCAACTTGGTAGGTGTAAAGTGATATTTCAAGGTTGTTTTAATGTGCATTTCTCTAATAAAAATTATTCGGAGCATTTTTTCATATGATTATAAATTGTTTTGATTTCTTCATTGGAAAACTGCCTGTTCATATTCTTTGACCATTTGTCGACTGGGGAATGACTTATCTTCTTATGGATTTGATAAAGTTCTTTATATATTTGAAATATGAGAACTTTATCTGAGAAATTGTCTATACATCCCTCCCCCCCAAAATTTTCTGCTTTCCTTCTGATCTTGGCTCTATTTGTTTTATTTGTACAAAATCCTTTTAAATTTAATGTAATTTTTCATTTAATGCACTGCTTACTTTTAAAATTATTTTTAAAAAACTATTTCATTTCTCATTTCAACAAATCAGGAAGGAGAAAGAAAAGTAATAACCCTATTTATGTACCACTTTTAAAAAGCAGCATTCTATATTTTAAATAATATATCCAAAAGATTGCCTAATTATTATTGTATATTATGTAACCATCTTATGAAATATTATTTACATATTATGAGAAAGCTAGGTGACTCAGTAGATAGAGTGCTGGGCCTGGAATCAGGAAGGCTTATCTTTCTGAGTTCAAATTTGGCCTCAGACACTCACTAGCTGTATGACCCTGGGCAAGTCATTTAACCCTGTTTGCCTCAGTTTCCTCATCTGTAAAATGAGCTGGAGAAGGAAGTGGCAAACTACTCCCATATCTTTGCCGAGAAAACTCCAAATAGGGTCATGAAGAATCAGACACAACTGGAAACAACTAAATAACAACATTTATATGTTATATATAATTATATAATATAAATATAATTATAAAATATAAACAGAATTAGTTTCATATGATTATATAAGTATACATTATATATGTCTATGGGTATATATATATGTATATATATATATATATATATATATATATATATGGGTATATTATACACACACACACATATATGTACATATATATATATATATGAAATAAAATTCAGAGGAGTTAAGTGACTTGCTTCTTGTTTAAATAAATTTAAACCTCAGCACTGGGACTCAATTTCATTCTGTTTACATGTCTGATTTCCTTTCTATTATGCCATTTTTGGGTCAATTTAATATATTTCTTTGCTGTGTTAGAGTTTAAAGTTTTGAGCTGCTTACAGTGTTACTTTTGGATGGTTTTGTGAATTTCACTTACATAAATATCTCTGTTCCCATTACTATGTTATTGTTAAACTTGATTTTGAAATATTAGGGCTCACTATGTAATTTTAATATCTTTTAAATAAATCAAGTAATCTTAAGGAAAGCATTTCTAGTGAGAAGCGTAGTACAGCATATATGTGATATGTTAAGAAAGTTCATTTTTGAGAACATCTAATGAAATGATGCCTTCATTTGATTAAAAAAAGTTCAAAGAAGATATAATCTGCTCATCTTGTATGTTTTGAAGATCATAGAAATTCCCCCTTCCTGAGAGAGTGTAGAAGAAGATCTAGTATTGTTTCATAAATGTTTATCTATATCTTTTTAACTGTCAAAAATAATTTTTTTTTCAGGAAAGCACAGGCCGACCACATATAATTCAGAGAGCACTAGGGGGACACACTTCCAAGCAACTGAAGAATCGGAGTAAGTTTCAATTGAAATGGCTATTGAATGATTACTTTTTTTAGCAGGATCTTGGCCATGTCGGTCCCTCTCTGCCTCCTGTTTCCATAGTGCCTCTAGTTTTTCATCAAACTCACCTCTGCTCTCTATCTCTTCCTTTCTAAATTCATTATGCCAGGAGGAGGTATCATTATCCTCCTTATTTCATGGTGCTCCTTGCAAACTCTCCTTTTCTTATTCTCACTCAGTATCTTTCCTCCTTCATAGTTCTTTTTACTTCAATATTTTCTTGGAATCATGATCTCATCAGTGTGGGTAGTCCTTCTACCATTACATCTCACATCCTCTTCATGACTTCTTAATCTGGACAATTCTTTTCTTTGTGCTTTCAGAAATCCTCTATAAAGGGATCTCCTCACTGTGCTAGAGACCTTCACTTAGCTCTTAATAAATTTCTAAATACCAAGGTGACACTCAGTTGTCCATATAGTATCTCATCATACCTCATCATTCTCTCTTGCAGGTAATCATTGTTCATAGGTTACAGTGTACACCCATTATATCAATCAATCAACATTCCTAAATCAATCAATATACATTTGTTAAATGCCTACTGTGTGCAGACATGGGAGGCAAAGAATGGAGCAAGCTCCACCATCAAGCAGCTTACTTTCTTCTTCTCCTCCTTCTTCTCCTCCTCCTCCTCCTCCTCCTCCTTCTTCTCCTCCTCCTCCTCTTCTTCTTCCTTCTCTTTCTCCTCCTCCTCCTTCTTCTTCTCCTTCTCTCCTCCTCTTCTTCCTCCTCTTTCTCTCTTCCTCCCCTCCTCCTCCTCCTCCTTCTTCGCCTTCTTCTCCTCCTCCTCCTCCTCTTCTTCCTTCTCCTCCTCCTCCTCCTCCTTCTTCTCCTCCTCCTCCTCCTCTTCTTCTTCCTTCTCTTTCTCCTCCTCCTTCTTCTCCTCCTCCTCCTCCTCTTCTTCTTCCTTCTCTTTCTCCTCCTCCTCTTCCTCCTCCTCCTCCTCTTCTTCTTCCTTCTCTTTCTCCTCCTCCTCCTCCTTCTTCTCCTCCTCCTCCTCTTCTTCTTCCTTCTCTTTCTCCTCCTCCTCCTTCTTCTTCTCCTTCTTCTCCTCCTCTTCTTCCTCCTCTTTCTCCTCTTCCTCCTCCTCTCCCTCCTCCTCCTCCTCCTTCTTCTCCTTCTTCTCCTCCTCCTCCTCCTCTTCTTCTTCCTTCTCCTCCTCCTCCTCCTCCTTCTTCTCCTCCTCCTCCTCCTCTTCTTCTTCCTTCTCTTTCTCCTCCTCCTCCTTCTTCTCCTCCTCCTCCTCTTCTTCTTCCTTCTTTCTCCTCTCCTCCTCCTTCTCCTCCTCCTCCTCTTCTTCTTCCTTCTCTTTCTCCTCCTCCTCCTTCTTCTCCTTCTTCTCTCTTCTTCTTCCTCCTCTTTCTCCTCTTCCTCCTCCTCTCCCTCCTCCTCCTCCTTCTTCTCCTTCTTCTCCTCTTCTTCCTCCTCTTTCTCCTCTTCCTCCTCCTCTCCCTCCTCCTCCTCCTCCTCCTTCCTCCTCTTCCTCCTCCTTTTTTGGAGGCAATCGGGGTTAAGTAACTTTCCCAGGGTCAGAAAGCTAGTAAGTGTCTGAGGCTGAATTTGAACTCAAGTTCTCTTGACTCCAGGGCTGGTGCTTTATCCACTGTATCAACTAGCTGCCACAGCAGTTTACATTTTATTGAGGGAGATGACATGTACATATATAATTATATACACAATAAATACCAGGTAATTAGGGAGGGAGGGCACTAATAGTTGAGGAAGCAGAAAAGGCTTCATGCAGAAGGTGGTATGTGGGCAGAGTTTTGAAGACAGAAGGATTTTGTGAGGCAGAGACATTAGGTGTCTTTATGTTGCCTACAATTTTAATTCTTCTGAGATCATGATGTTCCATGATTGGGAGCAGCTGGGTGGCATAGTGGATAGAGTGCCAGCCTACCATCAGGAAGACCTGAGTTTAAATTCAGCCTTAGACTCTGTGTGACCCTGGGTAATTCACTTAACACCAATTTGCCTCAGTTTCATTATCTATAAAATAGGGGTGATAATAGCACCTACCTCCCAGGGTAGTTGTGAGAACCCAATGCAGTAATATTTGTAAAATACTGTATGCCTGGCACATAATAAGTACTTTATAAATGTTAGCTATTATTATGAAGATGGTCATGTTTCACAATTATGATATGGTATTTTGCAGCAATGAGTAGCCTGGCATAATTTAAAGCATTGTAATTCTCCACATACAATTCAGCCCTGCTTACTCAACTCCCCAATCAACTCTGGGCCCACTTATTTTCCATCTGCATAGTCTGTCTGTGATAAATATGCTGATGAATTCATTCAGTGAGATCTGATTGCATGCCATCATCTAGGTAATAGGATATAGGTATAGTGTGTGTGTGTGTGTGTGTGTGTGTGTGTGTGTGTGTTTGTAGTCAGTGGATCTTACTGTGAATCCTGCATAGTGTTCAAGGGCTTAGTGAATTTCCATTGTTAACTACAAACAGATGCAACTATTCATTTTACAGAGAATACCTATAATGTGGACTATGCAGGACATCTTACAGTAGCAAGCACCACTGGCAGTCATTTGTTGATATTTTATGTGTTGTTTGGTAACGAGAGGGTCACTAAACAAAGTTATCTCTGTAACTGCATCTATTTGTGTGATTTTAATGAGAGTGGGAGCGTGGGAGACACTAGTGTGAGCAGGAACCTTTAAGGAAACATTTTGCTCTACTAAATACAATGCCAATAACCATTATGCAATCTGGTTTTTTATTCTGTATTTTGCACAGTAACCTATGCTACTGAGAAGATTTAGTCTGCTGTCAGAAAATCAAAGGCAAGAGACTGCTTGTTCTCTGTTATTTTCATGAGGGTACCCCTGATACATACATAGACCATTCTCCTAAAACTTTATAGATGGAAAGTAAATCTAGCAGTCACTAATGATTTCTTGGTAACCTTTTTTTTTGGTAAAAGTTTCTCCTATGACTTTATTAATTATTTTGGAATCTTTATGTTTTGGAGATATTCTGAAAATTGATCCCTGTGTGCCTTTAAATTGTGTTGCTTCCAACATGGAATTTTTTTATGTGTACCATTTGGGTAGGTCAGGTTGGCCATTCTTCCCAACTTCATCTTCTTAAGTACCATTAATAATTTTGCATCTGATACTGGATTTTTAAAATCCAAATATGGTGGTTCATTTTTCAACAATGTTAATAGATTGCTGTAGAGAAATTCTGGCAAATCTGTTCAATTCTCCATCTATTTGTTGTCCTTGTTTCATCTATAAATGGTTTTGAGATGACATAGCTTCATCAGCTTTTATGCCAGACTTTCTGCAATCCTCTGCTGTATCTGAAGCTGTCAAGGAGATTAAACACTTATGGTCTGAAGTAGTTTCTAGGATCCTTGGGCATCTTTGTGGTGATTACTATTTTTGGTAAGTTAATTTTCTCTAAGAAATGGTGATAATCTGCAAATATTTTTGCATTATCCATTTCCCATTTTTCAGAATTAACAACTTTAAAAAATAGATTGAATTGGAGGTGTTGTAATTTTACCTAGTAACTTGACATCTTTATCTTTTAAATCTGGTATTTATTTTCACCTTCATTTTAACCAGCAAGTGATCTGACAACATAATTGTTTTTGTTTAGTCACGTCTGAGTCTTTGTGACTCCATTTGGGGTTTTCTTGGCAAAGGTACTGGAATAGTTTGCCATTTCCTTCTCCGGTTAATTTTACAGATGAGGAAAATGAGATAAACAGGGTTAAGTGACTTGCCCAGAGTCACACAACTAGTAAGTGTCTGAGGTAGAATTTGAACTCAGGTCTTTCTGACTCCAGTGTTGGTGCTCTATCTACTGCACCACCTAGCTGCCCCTGACAATGAAATAGTTACTGTGAAATGACTCTTATCTATTGAGTCTTTCCCTGCTGCCTACAAACAAACATGCTTATTTCCCATATTGTTTAAAAAACCATTTGATTCTATTATTTAGACCCCACTAGCTACCTTACTATATCTATCTTCCCTTTTTCAGCTAAACTTCTTGAAAAATCTGTTTCCATATTTGGTGGTTCCACTCTCTGTCTTCTAAATCCTTTGTTAATTAGCTTCTGACCTTGTCATTCCACTGAAATTGTGTTCTCCAAAGTTACCAGTGATCGTTTAATCTTTGCTAAATCCAGTGGCCTTTTCTTCATCTTTGTCCTATTCACTTCTCTGCACCTGCTGACACTGTTGGCTACCTTCTCACTTTAGATACTATCCTTGCTCAAGTTTTCACAATCCAACTATCCCTTGCTTCCTATTTGACTCCTTCTCTGTCTTCCTTTGACTTTTTCTGTCACCTTTGGTAGGTCATCCATGTCATGCCCACTAATTTTGAGTATCCCCCGAGGCCTGTTCCTCATCCCACTTTTATCTCTACTATTTCACTTCGTGATCTCATCAGATCCCATCAGTTCAATTATCATCTCTATGCAGGTATATATTTTAGAGATATATTTATTTAGCCTGATATGGTTCTCATTCTCTCTCTCTCTCTCTCTCTCTCTCTCTCTCTCTCTCTCTCTCTTCTCTCTCTCTCTCTCTCTCTCTCTCTGTCTCTCTTTGTCTCCCTCTGCGCTCTCTCTCTCTCTGTCTCTCTCTGTCTCTGTCTCTCTGTCCCAGTTAAGTGACTTGCCCAGGGTCACACAGCCAGTAAATGTCTGAGGTCAGATTTGAACTCCTAACTCCAGGACCAGAACTCTATCCACTGTGTCACCTAGCTATCCTACGATTCCCTCTTGACCTCCAGTCCTGCATCACCAACTGCCTATTGGATGTTTCAAAGTCAGTCAGCTAGCAGTGAAATGTGTTGTAGGCATCTCAAGGTCAACGTGTTCAAACCCAAACTTATTCTATTTCTGCTTTCTTCCCCAAGCCCCAAATTCTCTTCTGATTTTTACTATTTACTGTTGAGGATACCACCATCCTCCCAGTCATCTAAGTCTTGGTGTCATCCTCAACTTCTTACTCTCACATACCCCATATACACAATCAGTTGCCAAATCCTTTTGTTTCTAATTTCACACCATTATTCTTGTACATCTCCTTCTCTGGATTCACAAAGACACTTCCCTGGTTCAGGCCCTCATTACTTCTTGCCTGTGCTGTTGCAGCAGCATTGTAATTTGTTTCCCTCCCTGAAGTCTCTCCCCACTCCAATCCATCCTCCACACATGTACCAAAGTGATTTTCCCAAAGTCTGTATCTGAGTATTTCATTCCCTTGCTCAATAAACACCAGTGAGTTCCTTTTGCCTCCAAGTTTATATATAAAGACTTTTTGGGGGGCATATTTTTCTAATATTATATTCTACTATCCTCCATACATGTTAAGATCTATCTCTGTCTACTGATAAGCTCCTCACACATGACACTCAATCTCTCTTCTTCATGACTTTATACTGGCTATCTCTATCATCTGGAATGTTCTTCCTCCTCAACTTTACCTCCTAGCTTCCCTGGTTTCTTTTAAGATTCAGCTCAAATTCTTCCTTTCCTAGAGGTTCTTTCCCTGGGCCCCCAGCTGCTAGAACCTTAACCTCTAAGGTTATGTTTTATATATTTTGTATGTATCTTATATGTATTTATAGACATGTTGAGTGTGAGCTTTAGAGCATAAGCTTCTCTGTACTTAGCATAGTGCCTGGCACATGATATAAGCTTTCTAAATGCTTGGGGATTGATGGATAGGTTGTGGACTGTATTTGATAGTGGTCATTCTTGCACCAATGATATCTCAGATCCTTGATTTATTGCAGAATCTTGGTAATGTCAAACTCGGCTATATTTAATGATTATGATGCCATCTTTAAGAATGAATCTTTTAGTATTTATTTTCACAGTGAAGGGCCCCATGGCATAGTGTATAGAGGCCAGCCTTGTAGTCAGGAAGCCCTGATTTCAAATCTTACATCTGAAACATATTGGCCAGTGCCTCAGGCAGCCTCTAAGGCTATAAGTTGAAGATGATTTGTGGATCTGTGTCAGTGGAGAGTTTTCATACTAGGAATTCCCTGCACAGGTCTGAATTACAGGTTTGAAAAAATTACAAGTCTGGACTGTGTTTCCTCACCCTGCACTGCTATATACACTTTTATTGTTCTTTATTTTATTTAAGAAGGCATATAGTTATCACTTCCACATCATGACTTTCCTCATTGTGATTTTGGTATATTGTGGGTTGGCATAAGAAATTAAATGGGAATATTTTGGGGAATTTTGTGGAAGCCAGAGATGACAATATGATACAGGAAAAGTTTAGAAACTCCGAAATGCATAAAACATATGTATAGCATTACATAATGTCAACTCAAATTGTACAACAAGGTACTGTAAACACTCCATAAAAGAAAAAGAAAAAATGCAGACTTCTTCTCTAGTATGAAAGGAGAGCCAAAAATTTTTATGCAGATTTTCCAGATTGTGGGGATGTCGTGCCCTAATGCCTGTGATGTGGAAGGCATAACTGTACTTTATCAATCCATTGAAACTTATATTTTGGCATTTATTTTTATTTTTCTGCAGGCATGGAAGAACATGACCAGTGGCCCTTCCTGTCTGAGTTACAGTGGCTGAAGAAAAGACGACGGAGGAGAGCTGTGGGTATTTGAATTAAACCTTGGCTATTTCATTCTGGCATCTTAATGTTGTAGCTATTATGAGGCAGAATTTCTTTGTGCATTGATGCTATAAATTTGTGAATTTTCTGCCCTGTAGTAATAACCTCATTTTTCAAATATATTAGATAACATTGATTTTGAACTGTATTATATAGAGATTTTAACATTTTTTTTCTCTGCTCCTTTGATAATTCATACTGATTAATGTTGACAGAATCTTATATCAAACCCAGCTGTTCTATAAAACTGGTAGCTGTATTGGATACATTTGCAAAAAGTTTTCCTATAATAATATAAATATCATTCCTTGAAAAATAGAGCAGAAATACGTACACATATGTATATTGTACATATTTTCCATGTAGCTTATGCATATTTTATTTTAAGTATTCATACAAGAAATAATTATATTTGAAGATATTGGACAATTAGACTTATTATGTTTTTTCCCTTTCAGATGAAAAACACCACCATATTGAGCTCTGAATGCTAAATTATGTTTTTTCTAAATTTAGCAATATAATACTAGTAAACTAAAATTCATATAATCAATAACTATCACATTCCATATATATATATGTATATATATATATATGTGTGTGTGTGTATATATATATATATATATATATATATATATATATATATATATAATATATTCAAACCACACTGGAAAGGCCTGTTTAATCCTCTTTATTAATAGATTTGAATTTGCTATTCAAAGGCTAACTTAGCTAAGAACAAAAATGCACCTTATCAGTTGGTTGGCTATCAGTCAATGACTCCTTTGGTCATGACAAACCATGACACAAAGGAAAAAATGAAAAAAAACCTGTGGCCTTTAGTTCATTGGGCTCCCTCTCTACTTCCAGAGCAATGGTGGTAGAGTGATGGAAAAGGGGCAAAGGATGCTAAAAATACCATTGTTTTATACTGTTCATAGACATTAAGTTAACTATAGGTATTTTAAACATGAAAACTTTTTCCAGTGATAAAAAAAATGACATATTGTTGGAAGAGTGGAACTATAACAATAGTAATATTCTTTTGTGGTAAATGAACTTTGAAAATAAAAGGAAGTTGTAACTTGGAAAGATGACTCAAAAATATTCCTGGTGGAGATAATAAAAGAGTTGTAGAATTGTGCCAAAGGCAACAAAGACCCATTTCATGGGTCCCTCAGTCATCTTGTCTAGTAGTACCCATAAGCAAAAACACCATTGTGAAGAGAACTGCAGCTTATAAAACATCTGTTACAGAGAATGAAGATGAGAAGAAATTCTAGAAAAAATATTGATTTCCAAAGCAAGTCAATATTTTCAATGTGAAAATGGACATGTGGGAGGATGGAAAAAATATGAGAAATGAGAGAGGTCAGAGTTTAATAGATTTCTCAGAAATCTTATATCCCTATATAATGAATACCTGCTTTCAGAAGAGAGTTGGAAGCTCTTGGACATGGTGAGCACTGAACAATATCATAAAAAAATGAAATGAACTCTACAGGTAGGAAATAACTGGTTTCCGATGTGAGGATTATATTGGAATCATCTGTCTGTGCACTGATTAATTAGAAGAAAGGTCAAAACATCAAAAACAGAGGAAAGGTTAAAGATGATAAATATATACTATGATCAGTGTCTACAGTTTCAACTTGTTCTATTCAAATAAGCTTTTTGCACAAGAAATTGCAAAACAGAAATAGACAAAAATATTGACCTTATTATCATCAAGTCCTGCAAAAATTTAGCTTATCTAAAAGTCACAATAAATAGGCCAGAAGGGCCAAGAAACTGACTTACTTAGCAAACACTTGATCTTGCCAAGCGGAAGATAATGGCAGTCAATGGATATCCAATTTATGATGTAAGTGCTTGTGTGAAAACACTACCAAGGAAGTTATTAGAAGGTTATGAACAGAATCCTTTTTTAAAATTGTGGGAAGGGAAATAAGTCTAAAGATAATTTATCATAGGAACCAAATGAGACATATCTTCTTGAGAGTATTCATGAATAAAACTTGAAGTGGAATAATGGATAAAAAGCAAATGGAACTATTTGTCCACACTTCTGCAACAATCTGTTATCACAATGGCAACAGAAGCACCACCATGTCTGGGCTCTTACAGCTCGGTCTCTATAGTGCTGTGTGGATACATAGAAATGGTATGTGGGAGGAAGAAGTTGGGAAGAAGGATGGGACCAGACAAAGTTCAGAGTAAAGAAATCAGTGCTGTAGTTGACATAGTTTTGAAAGCACTGGGGAGGTGGTGAAACCCTAAAACACGAATCTGACTGAGCCACTCTCCTGATCCAAAAGTTTCTATACCTCCCTCTTGTCTCTAGGATAAAATGCAAACTCCATTGCTGGAACAGCAGAGTCCTTTATAATCTGACTCTAGCCTACCTTTCCAGGCTTAAATTAGCATTACTTCATCTAGTAATTACTCTATATTCCAGTCAAATGCTGTTTTTACACATGACATTATATATTGCCTATCTCAGTTCCTTTCTTTGCACAAACTAATGCCTATTCCTGGAAAGAATTCTTTTTTCCTCTCCACCTCTGAGAATCCTTCATTCCCTTCAACTTTCATCTCAAGTGCCCTTTCCTACTAGTGACCTTTCCTGATACTCCTAGGTGCTAGTGCCCATGCCAGATTTATTTTCTATTTTTTGTATGTATTTTCTGTTTACTTTTGTATGCATATATTATACCCCTCTTCTCCCTCCCCTGGTAGAATAGAGGCTCTTTTAGGGCAAGGAGCTGATTCATTTTTATTTTTATATTCTCAGCACCAAGGACAGTTCCTGGCATGTAGATGTTTGTGTCCTTGGTTGAACACTTTATGAGATATCTCTGGGAGGAAAAGATAACAAAATAATGGGGAAAACATGGATTATATTTACACCCAGAAAAGTCTTGAACATTAATAGCTAATGATACCTACTACTTTCTTCACTGATGTACTATTACCTATTTTCTTATCTTTATAAAATCTTTGTGAGTGATCTATACATATATTGAAAATATACTCAGTAATATGGAAACAGGCAGTGTTTCTGTAATCTCATCACAGTGATTCTGTAAAGCAGACCAGATCTTTACAGTCTAAAGAATCCAAATTGCCGGTCACTCCAAAGGGAATGGAAAGACATATGGTGGGCTCAAGAAGACTGCAGTATGTTTTCAGTGACAAATTATGCTCAAGAAAGGGCATAAAGGGATAAATCATGGAAGCTATGTATGACTGGAAAAGGAGGCAGGCTAGTCATGTGGTAAGAGCAGGGAATAACAGAAGGACAGGTCAAGCATTACAGTAGTCCTCATATACTGTAAAAAGATCTAGAGAAAGGCCTCTAAAGTTTTGGGTGGATCCTCTTTGGAAGATATATGAAAGAATGTGAATAGGAAAAATGTACTGGTAGTAGTAGGAGGAGGACACAGAAGAAGAGAAGAAGGAGGAAGAGGAGAAGGAAAAGAACAAGATGAAGAACAGCAGCAGCAACAGCTAATAATTTACATATGAAGAAACTGAGGCTGTGAGAGATCAGGTGACTTTTCCGGGGACTCATAGTGTCTGAGCCAGAATTCAAACTCAGTTCTTCCTGACTCTAAGGCCAGCATTCTATGCACCATTTACATGGTTGTGTTGCATTCTGCACTGATGGAGAAGGCTGTAGGTGCCCACATGAATGAGAGCACAGATCTGGTGAATTATTGAAGTAACTGAAATTTATTTCTAGTAGTCCTGTAATCCCAAACTATAATTATGAGACTATTTAGTAAGTTATACAGTGAATACTGTGTTGCCAAGAACTAATTTCCCATCTTATAGATTACATGGTAATTTACTAGATAACTTATCGAGTAATTACAGTGAAAGTTGCCAATTTTAAATACTGTTTAACTGAATTTAGTTACTTAATATATCAGTTCACCAGTGTTGGAAACTTAATTCAACCTCAACTCCAATTCCTTTGTGATATGTGGATATTTCCCCAACCTATCTCTTAGGGTTAGCATTAGACTCAGATGATGTAACAGAATGCTAAATATAGGGATGATGTATGCCAACTCCCTCCATATTTTGTAGATCAGAAAACTGATAATAAATGTAAAAGCCATTTATAAACTATAGAGTCCTATTCAGGAGAAAGATTTTAGGGTTGTTAATGCTGAAATACAATGGTTGGCTTTGTGTTTATTGTTTAACTTCCTAATAGCATTTAACTCAAGAGAACAAAATGCAACCCTCAAGCCCCACATATCTATATTAAAATTATATGAGGTCCTTTGGCACGTGAGACCAGAGATACAGCTTTGTTCAGCCATCTCCTGAGGAGCAACATGAAACGATGAATTATACAAGGAGCCTGTTGCTCAACTAAGGTGTCCATCATTGCAATGAGAGGCGATTGTATGTAAAGTCCACATAGAAAAGGAAATCCCTTTCAGTGGCCAGATTTTCCAGATGTTCCCATATTCACATAATTTTTAGCTATATTGAAGAAAAGAGGAAGAAGGGAGAAGGGATTGGGCCATAGCTTGGAATGGAATGGGCATTGATAATTGACAACAGAGAAAAGATAGAGAGTGTTACTTGGTTATTGTTTCCCTTCTGTTTTCTTTGTCAAGGAGAATAATCTTGGAACAGAGCAAAAATGACTAATAGGGAGTCGATACCCAGTATAAGTAGCAACAGAGTACCTAGCTGCCCTACTCCATAGGCCACACCATCTCTCCATTCCCTTTTGAGTTTCTTGCAGTTTGGATCCCTCAGACTGCAAACATATTTACTTTACAAATTATTTGTGAAGGCCTGCTGGCCCAGATGAAAGAAATCCTAGAAGACTAAAAGAACTGGCAGGTTTGATCGGTTATTGTCAGCAATCTTTGAAAGATTGTGGAGAACAGGGAAGATATCACAGGATTAGAAGAGTCGAGCATTTATTAAACACTATGTACCAGTTTCTGTGCTAATTTCTGGGAATAAAAATACAAGTAGAAAGACAGTCCCTGCCTTTAAGGAGTTTGCATTTTAATGAGGAAGACAATACATAAAAGGAAACTGAAAGGGGGTGGGGGAGTCAGACAAAGGCATGGGGTTGCAATAGAGAAAGTCTATAGTGCAGCCTAGAGAGGAATGAGACATAGCTGGCCTTCATTAAGTAGAGGTTCTGGGAGGAGCCATCCAATCAGAAGGAGAGACCACAGGGATGGAAGGTACTTCCAGTGTGGAAATTCCAGGGCTTTAGTAGGGAAAAACTTTCTAAGAATGAGAGTTATACTAGAGTGAAATGGGAATCTCATTCTGGAATGGGAATGGGGAGCCATGAGTTCCCCTTCACTAATGGTCTTCAAGCAAAAATTGTGTTACTGCATAGTAGTGTAAATTATAGAGGGCATTCTTGTTTGGGTAGAAGTCAGGCCAGGTTGCTTATGATGTTCATTCCAGCTCAGAGATTCCATGAATCTGATCCTTAGAACATGATAAAGCCTCCTCAAGGAAATTAATCATTCACACTGGCATAACTACTTACAGTTGAGAGAAGGGGAATGGATGAAAAATGTACAAGTATCCAGATTACAAGAAATAATTAGACAGTCCATCTAGTTAGTCTTTCAGTTCATATCTTTTAGACAGGTGCTGCAGATGGGCAGTAAGCAGAGGCCAGAACTGAATAATAAGAAGAGATCAAGATGTTTATTATATTTGAGGAATCACACAGTGGCTTCAATAGTCTCTGCTACCAAATTTTATTGCTTACCACTGAACTTCTGATAGTTCTCCAGGAGGATAAAAAAATTCAGATGATTCAGAGAAAGTGTAAAGATACCTAGTGAGTTTACATAGGCTTCAGTAGTAGCATAAAATAAGACATGGGATAAAATAAAAACTTGCAAAACATGTAAGATCAGAAAAGAAGATGGATCGGTTGTAAAGACAAAGGGAGAGATAGCCCAAGTGCAACACTGTTACCCACAAAACATTAAAAACAGAAAGCTGCCAGCATATGGTGTAGTTTCTCTGTGAAGGCTTTTTGGAAAGATATAGGATAAGAATCAACCAGGATAAGAAGGCATAGGAGAATTCTGTTTTGCCCCAGTAGAGATATAACCATACTGTGATTTGGGTCCATTGAATCACTGCCACATACATTTAGCTTAAGTCATACTAACTCCTAATCACTCTTCTGAGCCTGCCTTAAAGTTTTGATACTATGATTATTCCATTATGTCAGTATCGCAACTGCTTCAAAAATTGGTGTTTACAAAAATTAATTTCACATAGGCTAGTGATCTTCCATGACTGTCCATCTCTATTATTATGCAATCAATTACCAAGCATCTAGAGGTCCTAAAACCATTATTATTGATTCCTTGAGATATTATAGAGAAATAAAATCATGTTATGGCTTAAAAAGCTCAGTTGTGCATGTTCTTAAAAGTTCATATGATACTGATACTGGTCAGAGCGAAAAAGCAGGCTTGACAATGTTTATTGCTCCGAAGCTATACAGGGGAAATTTGGTTTATCATTGGTCAAAGCCACGAAGTAGAAAGAGAAAATCTTCCTTCATTACTTAATTCCAAAAGGAAGAGATTTCATATGAATTGGGGGTACATTAAAGCTGATGCCATTGTCATTTAATGGGCTTTATTTAGGTTGTAGTTAAGAATTTTATGACCTCTGAGGTGCTTTCTACTGTTGTTGGTTGAATTTCATAAGAACTAAGAAAATTCACCTCAATGAAGACAACTTTTATTCAGTGTCTGAAATTTGCGGGGCACGGTGTTGGCTAAAGGGGATGCAAAGACAAACCCCAAATAATCTTTGTTCTCAAAGTGCTTAAATTTTATTGGGAGGGATATAACATGGACAGATGAGTATGTACAGAATATTGTTTTTAAAATTTTTAATATTTTATTTTCCCCAATTACATGTAAAAACAATTTTTAACATTCATTGCTTTTTTTTAAAAAAAAGTTTTGAGTTCTAAATTCCGTCTCTCCTTCTCTCCCTCCTCACTCCCTAAGATGCTAAGCAATCTGATATAGGTTATACATGTGTAAATCATGTAAAACATTTCCATATTATTCATTTTGTGGAAGAAAACTCAGACAAAAGAAAGAGAATGTAAGAAAGAGAAAGAAAGAAAGGAAGGAAGAAAAGAAGGAAGAAAAAGAAAAATATTATGCTTCAGTCTGTATTTAGATGACATCAGTTCTTTCTCTGGAGGTGGATAGCATTTTTCATCATGAGTTCTTTAGGATTGTCTTGGATCATTGTATTACTGAGAATAGCTGAGTCATTCACAGTTGTTTATCATATAATATTGCTGTTACTGTGTACAATGTTCTCCTGGTTCTGCTCACTTCACTCTGTGTCAGTCTTTTCAAGTTTTTCTGAAATCATCCCATTTGTCATTTCTTATAGCACAATAATATTCCATTACAATCATATACCACAACTTGTTCAGTCATACAAAGTAATTTTAGGAGGCCACTGGTAGGAGTGGAGAGAAATCAGCAAAGATTTTATAGAAGAAGTGGGACCTGAGTTAATCCTTTAAAGAAGATGGGAGCTTTAAGAGGTGGAAGTGAGGAGGGAATACATTCTGGAGACTGATGCAGAGTCATAACTACAACTAGGTGACTGGGGCTCTGTTGCTTAGCACTGACATCTGGTAGGGGAGGTGTTTCCTCCTCACTACAGAAGCCCTACCTTCCTTATACGTATTAGTCCTCCACTAGCAATTGTCCACATTCCCTTACCCAGGCTGGCTATAACTCCTGGGGTCCCATCACCATGGTGGCTGTATCCTATGACCATTTTCCTTCTCGTATCCCCTCAGGTCATAAAGCATCAGGTACTGCCAGCTGTGCCACAAGGGTACAGACAGGAGTCTCTGGAAGACAGGCCATTACTTTTCCTGTCTGTACCTAGGGACAACTGTACTTACCTAACTCTGCCCCTCCCCACACCCACCTCACCAACCAAATTTACCGGAGGCACAGGAATTATTAGCTTTTGCTCTGCATTAAGGACAGCCTATAGAAAAGAAGCAACAGTCTTGGATTAATGAGTAGCTAGCTTTCCTCAAAGCTAAGAAGACCTGGGTTCAAGTCCTGTGTCTGATGCATGCTGGCTGTGTGATTCTGGGCACACTACTCAATCTCTCAGTGTCCTAAGCAACTCTTTCAAAATATAAGTGGCAGAGAAGGTGCCAACCTACACTTGTAGATGAAATTTCCTCACCCAAGATTCCCTATTCCAGTGAAACCACAGGTCCTCTCCTTATCAGCTTATAGGTTAATTTAATGTATATTTCCCCCTAAATGAATTTTGAATTTCCCCTAATACATTTTGAAAAAAATATCCAATTTTAGTAGGGGAAGTATTTGTCATATCAATCTTATTTTCTTCTAAGTTCAGCTTATTTCATTTTTCAATTAGCAGGCACTTATTTTCTCTCCCTCCCACCATTGGAAAGAGAAAAACCAAGGCTTTGTAACAAATATGCATAGTCGAACACAAGAAAGTCCCATATTGGCCACATCCAAAAATACTTATCTCATTCAGCAGAGTCCATCACGTCTCTGTTAAGACAGATATAACAGGATGAAGAATATCATCCACCTCTTGTTTTGTCTACATTAATACCACAATACCATTATATTTATTCTATATACTAGACTGTGACTTTTAGCTTATCCTTTTAACAGAATTGCATGGTGCACATCCTGCTTCTTGACCTCATGGATAATTTCACCCATGGGCTTAAATGGGTCCTTCATCTTTTGCTTTTGTCACATGCAGGGTGTTGATGGAGTATATAAATAAAGAAGCTAAGATTAGGATCTGTCTCCCAATCTGCCAAGGCCAGAGGTGTTTTGTCTTGATTTTTCTAATCCACTTGTCATTCTGATTACTTTTTTATTTTTGACAGGCACCTCGTGGAGTGTTTGAAGAAATGAAATACTTAGAGCTTATGATTGTCAATGATCATAAAATGGTAAGCGATGGCAAGATGCCATGCTTTGTACCTAATTTAGCAAAAATATTTTTTGACTTTCCAGCTAATCATTTTGTGTTGCTTGTTGAGAAGAAAGATTGCTCTTAAAAATCCTCTATTCTTTTTTTAGAGAGAACTTCAAAAGCTATTTAATCACTTTTAATATATCTTATGGCATTTGAAAATGGGCTTTTACATTACCTACACAACTTCACACTTTTCCTGTGTATTATAATCGTGATCAAGAATGAGATTTATTCTTAATGAGCAATATCTTATTGCTCTTCAGTTTTACTCAGTGTAATGATCCTCATCAGTTTTTGAACTATTGTTTTTTATTTTTGCTTTATTTCTTGCCTTTACTAAAATCTTAGTTTGACATACCCCTCTACCTCCCACCTCCACCCTGAAGAACAGGGTTTCTGAATACTTAGAATCTGTAAACTTGGTTTTAAAAGCATCTGCTTCGATAATTATATTTCAATATAGTTTATTTCCTTTGCAATCCTGTTTATTTTATATATTTGAAAACATTATCCTGAGAAGAGGTCCATAGACTTCTCCAGAGTATCATAGGGGTCCATGGTACAAATAAGCTCTGGAATGCTGGCCCTAGAAATTGTTATAGATTGTGGTAAATGATTTGTGGCAGATAGTTGATCATTGGATGATAATTTCTTCTTTTGAACCATAGCAACTCCTAAATCCATTAGCTATGCCATGGAGGGGTTGACATGTGTACTGATGAAGGGAGTCACTACACAAGTGAATTCAAGGATCTTTTGAAATATTGAAGTGTATGATTTCCTCAGAGACACATCTATACAGCAAAGGCAAAAAATGTCCATAAGTCATTTTTAAGGTATTAACCTGTGTCTGTGACTAAAAAAGTGAGAGCCCCATGATGATCACTGGTGTTGCATAAATTAACATGTACTGCATTTAAATTCAATAACAACCCAAGGATGGTGACAAAGATATTTGGTCCTTAAGAACGTACCATCTAAGGATCAGTTAAAGGAATTAGTGATGTTTAGTTTGGAAAAAAAGGAATGTAGGGAGGAACATATTTGCTTTCTTTGAGTATTTGAGGTGCTGAATATGGCAGAGGGATTGGACTTACCCTGCTTGACCACAGAGTGCTTCATTAGGAGCGTGGGTGGAAGGTGCATAGCCAAATTTAGGTCAGTAAGGAAAAGGTAAGGGTACGTTAGATGACCTCTGAGCTCCCTTTGTGTTCTGAGATTTTTGGGATTCTGAGTTGATCTGCATTTTTGATTCTGAACCTAAATCAGCCTAATTGTGGAATTATTCTTGCACTCATCCCACAGAGGTGTAAAAACTAAGCCACATTTTTTGAAGATGGAAATTTCACGATAACGTTTTTTAGATCCTTTTTCTATTTTAAAAGCCTATTGTAATTACCTTGGGTGGTGGAGTACTACTCTCGTTTGTTTTTTTCTTTTTTTTTCCTGAGGCAATCAGGGTTAAGTGACTTGCCCAGGGTGACACAGGCAGTAAGTGTCACTTGTCTGAGGCCAAATTTGAACTCAGGCCCTCCTGACTCCAGGGCTGGTGCTCTGCCTGCTGCACCACCTAGCTGCCTTGCCCTATTCTAGTTTTAAGTGGAATTCTTTCCAAGATGCAGGTTTGAAAGAAAAGAAGGTATAATTTAGAATGTCTACATGACTGAGAAATGTTGGCAGTTTTCAGTGACAGAATGCCATTTTGGATAAGGGAGGGAAAATCTATCTTTTAGGCAAATCCTTTTGCCTAATACGCAAAATGATTTTTTAAACATGAGTTATCAAGTATTCACTTCCAAGACTTAGAACATAATTTCATAAGTTGCTGGACAGACAGTTTCAATGGCTTGAGCTTTTCTTGACTCCCAAAACTTAGAACCACTATTGTTATGTCTCTCTTTTAAAGTCAGGAAAAATAGTGATGAAAGCTTTTGCCTCTGGAGTGAGGAAAGGAAAAGGGACAATAAACATTTATATAGCATCTACTATGTGCCTGCTGGTCACTGTGTCAAGTGCTTTATATAAAATCTCATTTTATCTTAGTAATTATGATATTGCAGAAAAAAAGATTATTTTTATGGAAACAATAGTTTTAATAATTTTTCCTATGAATGATTCAGACATAGCATTTTTTTTCTTTTTTTTTAAAAGGTCTGTTATATACTACAATTTTCTAGAAATTATTCCAGATACTTGTGCAAAGAATCATTTTAGTCCATCAAAATCTGGAAGTCTTATGTCATTAAATCTTTGTGAGTCATTTTAGTTATTTGCAGATCTATTGATCAAGTCTATATCTGCTAGCTATCTTTGAAAGTGGTACATAAGAGTGACATTTTTGCTGACTTAAATGTCTTGGGATTTTTTTGTTTTGGGGTGTGTGTGTGTATGTGCGTGTGTGTGTGAGAGTATGAGATGTAAAGCTGTGACATAGAAAACGAACATTGGCAGTGTGCCTATTTCCTTAGATAATAAGGCTTAAAACAGAAAAAAGATAGGTCCAAGTAGATTACTATAATTCAGTGAATAACTGCAATTTTTATAGGTCATTGGATCTAAAATTATAATCTCTTTGTTCTAAAATGGGCTAGCTTCTAGTCTCTAGTGGGGCACAATTGGATATGTTAGTTCGGTATGAATATTTTCTATATTCAACCTGAGCATTTTCTCTAAAGACATATAGAAAATATACACATTAATGCATCTATTTACTATACATATATTATATTCAGGTATCTCTGAGGTTTCACACTCAGTACAGAGACTCGTAGATTTAAATCTGGAAGGGACATCAGACACACCTTTATTTTATAGATGAAGAAAATGAGAAGTCCTAGAGAAGTTAAGTCCAAGGTCACACAGGAAATAAGCATCAGATTTGGAGTGGGAACCCAAGTCCTCTGTCTCTGGAGCTAGTGTTTTTTCTACTATCCTGTTCTGCCTCCAGTAAACCAGACTGGATATCAAAGGATTTAACTTTAAACATTAGGGAGGAAAGCTTAAGTGGGATAATTAATTATTAGTTTCCTAGTATCTGATAATTTTCTGGATCTTTAATATTAGCATCAACCTTTCTTCATTGAATCATAGACTATTGGCAGAGATTGAGATTCTTTAAATAGCTCAGCTGAAACAGTTGATAGCACCTTTCATTGGTGTTTTGCTAGTTAGAATCAAATAATTAACTTTTTTTTTCAAAAGAAGATATTTCTAAAGGATGGTGTTTCAGTTGAGAATAAAGACCAAAGGCAAATATGCTGTAAATGCAAATTATATTTGAGTAATCAGAGGCTATGAAAGCAAACTTTTACCCCCTTAAATTAGAAATGACCATTTTGCTCATACACATAATTTAGACCTCCTACACACTAGAAAAGGAACTGTTTTTCCTATATTTGCATTTAAACTTGCTTTTTTATGCAGAGTAATCTAATACTGGTTTTCTGACAATTGTGTATATTTTGCCTTCATGAATACCAGAGTTACCTGTTGTGTTTCAATTAGGAAAGAAAAAATTGCCCAATTTTGAAGTAAGCTTCTTAGTACCTGGCCAACAGAAACTAATTTCTAAACCTATTTGGGCCTTGAAAGTAGTTCACCAGGGTTTTATTGTAACATTTCAGCTAAAAATAAATACCCAGAATCCCTAGTCCAAGAGAAAATTGGTTGAGATATTCTGGAGTGAATAAAGAGCCCAAAGTTATACCTGCAGCCTACTTAATTATAGAGCAGTGCTGGCAAATTTGTGGTACAAACTCCAAGAGGATTCAATTTAAACTACCTTTCATTTTCTTTATTATCAAAAACAAAAAAAAAGAAAACTGTTATACTATGCTCTAAAGCAGGGCTCTTAGCTTTTTTTGTGTCAGGGACCCTTTTGTCAGTCTGAAGAAGCCAATGAACCCCTTGTTTTTAAATGCATAAAACAAAATGCGTATGATCATAAAGGAAACCAAATATATTGAAACCTCCTCTCTGTCTTTTCTCTCTCTGTCTGTCTCTCTCTCTCCCTTCATCTCCTCTCCTCTCCTTTTCTTTCCTTTCCTCTCTTCATCTCTCTGTCTCTCTCACCAAATTCACACACCCCAGGTTAAGAACCCCTCCTTAAAGGCTTTTCAAGAATCATCTTTGCTTAGGAATCTCTATGGGGAACTTAAGAAGCCTATGAACTTAATAAGCTTTTACCTCCATTTGCACAAAGTGTCTTATTTGCAGCTTGACAAGATTTTCTCAACTTCAGATAAAAGCTTGATTCAAAGGCTTGAAAATAATTTAGTGAATGAAAATGTGAGCACAAAATCTCCTTTCAATAAGGTTAAAAAAGAGTAAGATTATTTCATTTTACATGCCTTTTCAGAGTCATTAGATATCTATGGAATAGGGGAGATTGATTATAAATGTTAAAAAAGACAAAAGACAAAAAAAATTTGTTATGTGCTTAGCATTACTATGCTAAGTATTAGGGATACAGTGAAAGGAAAAAAAGTCCTTACCCTTGAGGAATGATCCTAGGATCATATATTCAGAAATAGAAGGGACCTTAGAAGCCTTAGTTTTGGTCTTAGTCTAGCCCTCTCATGACAAAGAAATTGAGACTCTTGGACTTGAATCACAACATTAGGAAGCACCAGAGATGGAATATGAACCTAGGGCCTTTGACTCTGGGGCCCTTGTTCTTTTCACTGTAACATGTTGCCTCCCATAAAATAGATCTGGGAACATTTTATTATTCAGAATCAATTCTATCTTAATAGAAATGTAGCACTGCTGTATTAGCAGAAGTGCTTAATATTTTTCCTTTATGTTTTCTCTTTTAAAAATTCAAATCTTAGAAATGTGCTCAAAATTAAAAGCAAACTGTAGGTTTCTCAGAATTCCCTCCATGCACAGAAGTTGGGAGGTAGATGTTAGCTGGAATTTTATAGAAATAATTTTGCTAGGCAATCTAAAATGCCCAGATATTCCAAGTAGTGT